GGGTCTGCTCTGCCGGTGAGGGGCTGCGGACGGGGAGGACAGGCAATGCAGGAGGCCAGCCAAGGGACTTCTGCGACAGCCAGCACAGCCAAGAGCTCAGGCCGGCATAGTGAGAGTGGATCAAATGGACAGTTTCTGAAAATATTTAGACTAGTTCTTATTTGCTAATTTTTACACCAGCTTCTTCCAAAAAGAAATGATGGGGCTAACAAGGACACATATGTTAGAAGAAGAGAAAATAAATGGATGAGGAAATGAAGACAAATGGAAAATAATTTTAAGAAGAGAAATAGGGCCGGGGTGAAGTTAGAGCCCCAAATTACACACACACTCCCGTGCACTAGACATTTCCTCACGGTGGCCACAGGTTGGACACTGGGCTTCCTATCTGCTCAGCAAGATACAAGGTCCAGAGCATCCAAGGAGGAATACACCTGCTAATGACACACCAAGCCTGAGGAAGAGCTCTCTCACACGTGCTCAGACAGGAAATCTCTGAAGTGGCTGGCGTTGCAAACAACACCTCTAGAGTTTTTTTTAAGTTCATAGTTTTCAAATGACTATTTTTTACAACAGCTCATAATGAAAATCACAAACATAATCTGAGAAAAAACATAAAAGGATTTTACGAGGGACCCAAATAGGACTCAGGAGGGAGGTCTGCTGGGCTGCCTTGACTCCGTGGTGAGCTAAGGCAGTCATGATCGGCCTGGTCTCCGGGGAGCTGCCCCACGTGTCAAAGCGGGGTGAAGGGACTGAGGTGGGGGGCAGGAAAGGGGGCTTAGCCCCTGCCCCCTTTTAACCAGCTTCAGTTTATGAGTTTATGTACCCCATCAGCTGTCTTTGGAAGAGTACTCAGCAGCCCTTGCAACCTCACAAAAAATTTCAAAAAGGCACTGAAGAACTAGAGAGAGATGTTACACTACCTCCAGGAATGCAACATTTTACAACTAAGCCTTGGATAAAAATTGAAATTTTTTAAACTTGACGTGCAAATCTGCAAGAACCTCCAATTCAATTAGTCTACCTCACAGCCAGTTAAGAAAAGTGGGGTTCTTTTTTGTTGTTTGAGGGATTTTTTTGGTTTTTTATGTTTTTTGTTTTTAGGAGTTTTTTTCTGGTCTTTTTTTTTTTTTTTTTGCTTTGCAGTCAACCAAGAGGAAAGAGTTGCAACCCATTTTGAAAATGAAGGGGTTGGTTAGCCACAGAAATGTGGAACAAAGTGCAGGCAGGTCCCTCCAGAAAGCAGCTCTAGTGGCTCTGCTCTGACACCAAAGGCTGACTTTGGCCCCCAGAGGCCAGTGGCTTACAAACCTTTTTCAAAGTATTGAACCCCTTTCTACAGCCAAAGGGCAATCTTTTTAACAGACAGCTGCAGGGGCTGGCATAGCACTGGAGGCCCCGCCTTCCCGCCTCCCCTCAAGCCCCCGAGCAGATGAAGGAGGTCTGCGGAAGTCCCACGAGGTGGGTGAGCAGGAGCACCCAGAGGGCTCGAGCCACAGGCAGGAGCCAACCAGAGAAGGCTGAAACAGCCCAGGGTGCAGTCCCCACCTCTGTGCAGGTTGGCGTTATCTGAGGAGCAGCCCGTGGACAGAGCTATCACGTGTACCTGTCTGACCCCAGAGGCCACGGTCTTTCCACTGAGTGACAGAACACACGTTACAGACCACGGAGTTCACAACCATCAGCTTCTCATAAAGGTGGAACATGCTGACCAAGGGCCACTCCAAAAGCTGACATGCCCCCGAGTTATAACTTCAGGGGTCAAGACAAAACAAAGAGATATACCATCTGCTTAGAAACTACTGGGAGGAGAAACAACACTGTTTGCTGAATGACACTGCTTACAGCTACTACCACCCTGAGGACTACACAGCCTTCTAGCCTCAGTCAAATCAAACCATGAGGGGGAGGGAGGGCAGAGGATGGGATGGAATCGTGCTTAAGAAAACAGACATTAAAAAACTGAGGCAGGAAGAGTTAAAATTAGAATGAAAGGGTAAGAAACAAATCAAACCAAAAACCCCAAAACAGAGGAAAACAAAGAATTTAAGAAAAGAAATATGAATAGCAAAAGAAGAAAGACAACAGGGCTAAATTTCAGAAGAATGAAATGGATTCTATTCGAGCAAAAGGAAACAGAAAGGCTAACAACATAAAACAAAACTGTAACAGAATGCAAGTAAAAACGATAAAAGTTCTTTTTTAATTAAAAGACCATAAATGTTCGCACCAAAAAAATAAACATGTGAAATGATGGATCTGTTAACTAGACAGAGGGAACCCTTTCACAGTGTGTACATCTATCAACTCACTACAACATATACGTTAAAGATCTTACAATTTTGTCAATTACACCTCAGCAGAAATGGAAAAAAAAAGGGTGATTATGTTAAAATGAGGTCACTAGGGTAGTGCTCTAATCCATTATGACTAATGTCCTTATAAGAAGAGGAGGATGCGCCAGGCATGCAGGTGCACAGAGGAAACCACGTGAGAGGCAGCAGGAGGGAGGCCGTCGGCAAACCCAGGAGAGGCCTCAGAAGAAACCACCCTGCCAACACCACGGTCTTGAACTTCCAGCCTCCAGAACTGGGAGAAAATCATTTCCTGTTGTTTAAGGCTCTTGCCCCAGATTAGAAGACTAAGAAGGTAAGCACTTTAAAAATTAAACATAAAAACATTAGTGCCAGCTTTGCCCCAGTTTTGGCTCTGCAGTCTTAGAATAACTGAATGCTTCAAGAGGAAAACCCTCTATTCTGAACTCAGGATAATCATCAGGCAGTCACGAGTCAACTCTCCCCCTTGGTTCAGCTGAGTTAAGAATGCTAATAAAAGGCTGCCGAACATTCTTCTTATCTATCAGGGACACAGGGCTACCCAGAAAGAGGTCCTTGGTGCCAGTAAGAAGAATTCACTTTTTTAAAAAGATTAATAAAATGTAAGATTAAACAAAAGACAATATCTAGTTTCAGTGGGCACCCAGCTACATCCCACTGATAATACCTATAAAGACACACACAAGAAAAGACAGAAAGTAGAGCTTGCTTTGAAAAATAACCACTTACTAAAATCAAGAAGAAATTTCCACTAACTACAGTGCAAATGAAGGCAGATGGAGACACACCCTAACGGCTGACTGCGCCCCTGCCTCTGAGAGGTAATAGCACAGCTGCCAGGAAGTACGTGGGAAGAGGGTTCAGCCCTTCCCCTCCCTCCACCCCAGCCCTGAGTTTCTGCGTCTGCAGCAATCAGGAAACAGGCAGCGAGTCGCAGGCTGGGTGAGTCCTGACAGCCCCTCTCCCGTCTCCATTCAGAAGTTCTTTTTCTACATCCATCAGACACTGCAACCCTAGTAAGTACCTCGTAGTAAGCAGACACAGGACTGGCAGTGGCAACTATTAACTCCAGAAATAAAATGATACAAAGAAAAGCATTGATTTGAATGCTTACTTAGTTATTAAAAGACACTGCCTGTAAGAACCGAGCACAACAGGAATAAAGAGACACTATGTTAAGAAAGAAGTGGAAGAAACTCAGATGAGATTTCAAGGAAACTTGAAAATGCAACAGCAGAACTGACATTAGCGCAGGAGAAAAACGGCCGAATTAACATGGCATAATGAGGAAGTTACATTCAAGTTTTCCCATAATGTGGAATGAAAGATCAAAAACATGAAAATCCAGTGAATGACAAAAGCCAATTTTAGAACTAAGATCAACCAAACCAATCATTGTAATTACTGTTAAGTGGAAGAGATAGAGCAAAATTATACTATATGTGGAATCTCAGAAATATAACAATAAAGAAGCAGACTCACAAATACAGAGAACAAACTAGTGGTTACTTGTGGGGGGAGGGAAGGGGGCAAGACAGGCAACGCTTTTTGGGATTCGTCTCCTTGAGTCATGAAAACAAAACACAAATAAACAAATGGCACTTAATCAAACTCAGAAGCTTTTGCACAACAAAGGAAACAATCACAAAACAAAAAGACAGCCTACGGAATGGGAGAAAATATTTGCAAACAATGTGATCGACAAGGGGTTTATTTTCCAAAATATACAAACAGCCCATACAGCTCAATATCAAAAAAAAAAAATTCCAAAAATGGGTCAAAGACCTAAATAGACATTTCTCCAAAGAAGACATACAGATGGCGAGCAGGCACATGAAAAGATGCTCAATATCACTATTAGAGAAATGCAAATCAAAACTACAATGAGACAAAACCTCTTAGCAGTCAGAATGACCATCATTTAAAAGTCTACAAATAATAAATGTTGGATAGGGTGTGGAGAAAAAGAAGCCTCCTATACAGTTGGTGGGAGGGTAAACTGGTGCAGCCACTATGGAGAACAGTATAGAGATTCCCCAAAAAGCTAAAATAGAGTTACCGTATGATCCTGGGCATATATCTGGAGAAAACTCTAATTTAAAAAGATACATGCACCCCAATGTTCACAGCAGCACTATTTACAATAGGCAAGACATGGAAGCAACCTAAATGTCCATTGACAGATGACTGGGTAAAGAAGATGTAAAATGGAATATCACTCAGCCAAAAAGAAATCATGCCATTTGCAACAACACGTATGGACCTACAAATTATCACATTAAGTGAAGTCAGACAGAGAAACACAAATACTATATGATATCAGTGATATGTAGATTCTTTAAAAATGATACCAATGAACTTATTTAAAAACAGAAATAGACTCACAGACCTAGAAAACAAACTTATGGTTACCAAAGGGGAAGAGGAGGAGGAATAAATCTGAAATTTAGGATTAATATATACATACAACTACATATAAAATAGATAAACAAGGACCTACTGTATACCACAGGGAACTATATTCAATATCTTGTAATAATCTACAATGGAAAAAATCTGAAAAAGAATATATGTATAACTGAATCACTTTGCTGTACACCTGAAACTAACACAACATTGTAAATTAACTACACTTCAATTTTAAAAAATTGTTATTAAAAAATAGAGTGTCAAGAGAATGAGAAGACAAGCCACAGACTAGGAGAAAATATTTGCAAAGGACATATCTGATAAAGGACTTTTATCCAAAATATACAAAGAACTCATAAAACTCAACAATAAGAAAACGAATCACATAATTTAAAAATGGGCAAAAATCTGAACAGTTCACTGGAAAGACATACAGATGACATAGAAGCATATGAAAAGATGCTCAATGTCCAATGTTACTAGAACCACTGAAATCCAAAACACTGAAAAGATCACATACTGGACGTGGAGCAATCACTGCTGGTGGGAGCGCACATCTCCCCTTTGCAAGACAGCTGGGCTTACAAAACCAACCTACCTACCTACTACATACATACCCACATAAATGTAACACGCTAGAATATGCAAGGGGGAAAGAGAAACGTCAGCTGGGGAGGGAGGGAAGGCCTCTCTACCCAAGATTTGAGTTGAGACCGAAGGAGTAATCTGAAAGCCAGGGGAGGGCAAGAAAATCAGGCTAAGCTCTGATGCAAATAGTTCCGTATCTAACCTAACTGCGGTGGCTGCAGGAATCCAAGTGTGATGCAGTGGCACAGAACTCCACACACACAGCTGACTAATGTCAGTCTCCTGGTTTTGATGTTGTCCTGTAGCTACGTAAGATGTGTCTGGAATTTTATTCCAAGTATAATGAGAAACTGCTGAAGGCTGCATTCAGGGGATACATACTCTGGCTTGGTTTTTCTTTTTCTTTTCTTTTTTTGAGATTTTCTTCAGAAGGGGCAAAAAGGAAGCAGGAAGTCCAGTTAAAAGGCTTGCAGTTAGAATTTAGAAATGATAAAAGCATCTTGGTAGAATGCTTTAAATAGCAAACTAAGATTTCTAAATCTGATTACTCATGATGTCTCATCTGTTTGAACAAAATACACTGCAAGGCCATTCTTTTATAGATCTGAAAACACAAAAGAAGATATTCAGTATTTTCTGGCATTTCTTCATACAGTAGACTCTGACTCATAAGTATTTTACAAGTGAGCATGAGTAAGGTAAACCCTATCAAACATTTACTTCAGCGTTTCTACTAAAAGCCTCCATTTAGAAAAAGAGAATGTAGGACAATAAAACAATTTGGTATCGGTGATTAGAATTAGAATCTGGGAGGCTTACGGTTGACTCCACCATCCCTCAAACCCTCCCTTAACTTGCACAGACTCAACTCTCTATGTATTTTCCATTCACCTCTCTGGCCAGGGCTCTTAAGTTCCTTCCTGGGACCTACAGCCCGCTACCTGCCCTGTATTACCCCTAAATTGCCCCCCTCCCTCTTCAACCACAAAATTCATGTTGAAGCCCTAATGCCCACTATCTCAGAATGTAACTGTATTTGAAAGCAATGCCTTTAAAGGGGGTACTTAAATTAAACTGAGGCCTTTAGGGTAAGCCCTAATCAAAATTATGACTGGTGTTCTCGTAAGAGGAAATTTGAACAGAGACATGCCAGCCAATAGAGGAAAGGCCATGTGAAGACAAAGGGAGAAGGCGGCCATCTTCAAGCAAAGGAGAGAGGCCCCAGAAGAAACCAAAAGCGATGACACCTTGATCTTGGACTTCTACCCTCCAGAATTGTGAGGAAATGAATTTCTGTTGTTCAAGCCACCCAGTCTGCTGTATC